TTGTATTATAAGAGTGTATGTAAAAAAGTATGGTCCGGATAACTGTATTTTAGTCATACAAATATGCAGAAAAAACTGAAAAAAGGCATGACTTATTTTAAAGTATAACTGTCGCCCATATATATAAATATTTTCTGAGAAGTGGTTCCAATAATTAAGGAAATAAAGTAGATAATATTATTGAAAAGTAACATCAAATTTATGCATAAATTTATCTGAGGTATATTACTAAAATGTGAAAATAAATAATTGGACTAAACTTTTATCAATTGGTCATAATCCAATTTTAATAGAATAGACTAAGTGTTTACCGGCAATTTTGTGAGTAGTTATTTTATATAAAGAAATATATATTATATTTATAATTATAAGTTTTGAAAAATAATTAGAAATTTTAAAAAGTTATTTTAAATTTCAAATAATTGGATAATCAAAATTTCAGTATATATTTTAAGATCTGTGAAATTTAAAATAATTCAACAACATAAATTTTAATCATTAAAATATTTCCCTTAAAAAAGAAATATTATAATTAATTTAGATAATTGGTTGTAGAACTATTTTATTTTTTATTTTAACACGTGAAAACCAGTTGTAGAACTGATCATTTTTATTGATCTTTCTTATTCAATTTATATCATTTTTTTAAAACACGTAAAAATAATTAGTTCATATTTATAGTAACACAAAAATACATGTATCTTGGCAAACCGATAAAAAATAAATACATAATAAGAATATAAAAGAACTAAGAACACAATAAACATATTTTCTTATTCTTTCCTTTGCCTCCTTTCTTTTTTTTTCCTGTTAAAAATAAGCATGTTAATCTTATTATATCAAATTATATGGTAATTCATTTAAAATTATTATATGATAAGTTATTTAAAATTAAATTAATCAAAGTATTATATGGTAATTCATATTACATAAAAATTTCTTAAATAATATAATTTTAGTGATTTACCATATAACTTTGTGTTTTAATGTATCAAAATATTTTTATAATGTCTAAAAGTGATAATTCATCTATGATTCACATTGTCATTGGATTGATTTTTTTTAATTATATATTTGAATGTTTTGCATTCACTTTACATATTTTTAGTATATATGTATATAGTGAGTGAGTGACTTTAATTAATATTATTAGTTTTAAGTTAATTTGTTTCTGAAATCTATGATGTATTGTATTCACTACTAATATAAATATATTAAAACTCGTTTTTATAATTATTTTTGTAGTATCATATGTATTTATATGTATATTATCAATTTATATAATGTAATCTTTGATATTTATTATTTTTTATAAATAAATAATGTTAATTCATCTATATTTAAGACATTTAATTGTAAGTTTGCATACATAAATTAGATTAAGTAATTATACGATTAGTTTTAAAAAAAAATAAAAAAAAAACATCAAATAATCAAATTATAACAATTAACTAGGTGTTTGCCTGCACTTGCGGGCTTAATATTTTCCTAATATCTATATTCAAATATAATCAGTTTAAGTAAATTATAATAAATTATTGTTCATACCCTCAAAATATTTAATAATAATCTAAACAAATTCTTTCTATATATAAATTTTTTCATCATCATATAAATAATTGTTATACACAAATTAAATGTGAAAATATTCATAAATTTAAAATATTTAGTAATAAATTAATATCATTTTTAGACATAACAAAAAGTATAATAAAATTATCTTTAGTAATGTAAACTATTAATACATAAATTCTTTGCGAATTATTTTTTCATAACTAAATATATATTAACAAATATAATTATTTTTCAAGGTTAATACAGACTTATAACAGAATTATAAAAAAATAGATAATGATAATTATCAAATTCATGAAATTCGTTTTTAATTATAATTAATTATATATTAACAAATATAATTATTTTAAATATAATTATTTTTAATGTTAATAAAGACATAATATAAAAAAATTAAATAAGGATGATTATCAAATAAATGAAATTCGTTTTTAATTTATAATTAATGATACATTACTAAAAATATAATTATATTTCAAGGTTAATAAAGATTTTATAACCCAATATAAAATATTTTTAGATAAACATAAATCTAAAATCATTGAAATTCGTTTTTTACTTATGTTTAATTATATAATGAATTTTTTAATTATTATATAGTAATAAATCTTTTTTTGGTCAAATGGTAATAACTATTAGTCATTATATAGTAATAAATCTAGTTAATCATTAAGTTTATGTTTGCTTTGTCATTAAAGGTAGTAAAAATCATAAGAACATGACAATTAGATTTACTATCCTTAATGGCGAATCAAACATAAACTTAATGACTAATTAGATTTATTACTATATAATTAATAATTCAATTTATTATAATCATTAGTCTAGATAATGATAATCATCAAATCATAAGAAACATGACAAATAAGATTTGTTTCTAATTATTATATAGTAATAGATCTAATTAGTCATTATATAGTAATAAATCCAATTAGTCATTAAGTTTATGTTTGCTTGTCATTAAGGGTAGTAAATCTAATTAATATACGGTTCATAATTATATAAGAATAATTTTATTTAGTCATTAATTAAGGATAACCATTAATCATTAATCAAAATCATAAAAACATGATAAAAGAATTATAATTACATAAAATAATGGAGAATATGATAAATCAGCAAATTCACCTTTTTAAATATAATTAATTTATTGTTATTTATATATTAATTCAGTTTTAGTTTATGGTTTATTAATATCAACTATTTTTAGATAATAATAGTCATCAAATCAGTGAAATTTGTTTCTAATTTATGATTGATTATATGTTAATTAAATATATTTTCTGATAACAACACA